AAGTACATAATATCTTGGTAATATTATGTAGAGTTTTGACTCACAAACTCCCTGATAGGGTTTTGGGGACTCAAGGATCTGCAGACCACACTTTGTTGACCACTGATTTAATCTACCACATGGGTGACTGGCCCTACGTCTTGATAGAACCTGAGGGAATTTTTGTATTTGCTTTTAATGCTTGTAACCGATTGTTTCATCAGGAAAAGACAAGACTGCATTTGTTAGATTCTACTTTTTAAAAATTCAGTTAGTGTATAATATATCTTAGAAATGTTTCCAACCAAAATGTTAAAACAAAACAACCTTTAGAGCTTAAGATTCAGTTGCCCAGAAATTATACTTTATATGTAAGCCACTTCATTTCCTGATAACTTTGCAAAAATAGTTTCTACATTTACATTTTCTGAGGGATGCAGATAGTAAAATATGGGATAAAAGAACTTTTGAAAATGAAAAAGACAAACTATCATCCACATTTTGGATAACTGCTACCCTGTATGCCTCAATTCAAGATGGAGTCAGGGGTCACAGGAGTCAGGGAAGCACGGGTGAAGTATGTAGGAATATAAAAGCTTATAAAGATGACCAGTGAAACTGAGGCAAGAATTTGACAAGAACAGCTCTCTAACTGCAAAAATAGGCAGAGATTTGAGTTGCAAGATAAGACTTGGAGAAGCCACAAAGAGTTTGGCCAGGAGGAGGTGAGGAGGCATAGGCATAAGGTCGACTGCCCCCATCAATGCCTAGTCAGGGGCAAGGATGCAGAGAACTTTACATAGAAATTCTCACTGAAAAAAGGAAAATAAGGCTAGTGCAATTAGACAGCAAATTTATTTCAAGGGCAATGCACTACATAAGAACACTGTATCCTCTCCACTCAGATACTAAATCTTCATATTACCTTTTTTCTCTTCTTCCTCTTCTTCACAAAACTCTGCTAGGGAAAATGCTTCTTTGAGTTGCTGTAATTCAAGCTTTAGAGTCTCTAATTCTTCTCCACTCAGAGAATTAAGGATAGATTTCACCTGAATGGATATAAGACAGTAATAAAAAAGTTATGGGAGTATGAAAAACAAGAAAAACATTCTCAAATGGAAAAGAGACTATAGATCAAATGGAAGTCAAAATTATGAGCTCACCAGCTGGTAAGCTATTCCTTAAGAACCTCAACATAAGAGGCTAGTTATTAGAGAAAGGTTGGGAGAATTTGTACTTCCAAAAATAATATAAGCCAGAAATGTCTGGAAATTATTAGAGCTTAACAATGCCTTAGAAATCAGGGAAAAACGAAATAATCTTGAGTCAATTAAAAGCTAACAGGTAACTGTATACAAATTGGCAGCTTAGGTCAACAGATTTCTTGGCAGCTTAAGCCAAAGAAATTAAAAAAAAAAAAAAAAAAAGACCAAGGTGAAGAAAAATAACAGATGTGCTATTAAGACCTCTTTGTTAATCTGTACTTTTTTGTTTAAATTTAAAGAAATAACATTTGGCTCATTCTATTTTCTGCAATTGGTTCAATCAATCATTAGTTTTTTTGTTTGTTTCACAGTAGTGTTTCCAGAGAGTCTCTCAAGCCTCCATCTGAAATACATTTGATCTCCCAAATGTACAAAGAGAAAAGAAATTACGCAGCATTCTTTTGCTTGAAGACTTTTCCCAGTTGATATTTTGGTTTGGGATTACCTTTATTTCACTTTCTCGGGAAAGCATCTCCAGAGCTTCTAGATGTGAAAGGCCTTGAAATTCATCAAAGAGTAGCCCATAATGAGTTTTCTTCTCTGTTTCCATGGTAACCTCATCGGAGGTCCATAACTCTTCTTTCTCCTTCGCCTCTCGTAAAACCTAAAAAGAGATGGAGGCATTATACTGCAGCTAATAATGAGAGCTCAGGGGTGAGTTTTAAGAGCTGAAGAAAGCAAAGCTGACACAGGTTACGTTACAGAGAACTACCCTTTCATTCCTGGCATTGCAATTCAAATCTGATTGGCTCAGGAGCTGCAGGAAAAAAATGATCACACATAATTTGATCCTAGCCAGTGTAAATAACACTCAAGGAACCAGTTATTTCTCTGAAAGTGGTTTAAACATTAATCTAATAAA